TTCTGTGATTGAAGGCCCTTGTGCTGCAGTACTTTTGTTCAAATATTCTGCCCAGTGTCGATTGACCCAGTCTAGATCCACCACCCCCATTCGGCAAAGGTTAATCCTCGGGATTTTCGCGGAGACCGGCTGCGATTCTCTTTTCTGGCAGATGCTGGTTCATACCATCGGCTATGCGAGAATGCCCAGAGACTGCATTGCATTCCAGAGCCTCGACCCGACCCGCAACAATGATCGGGTTGAATGTGCAAGACAACAGATCCTCACGTGACATGAGACTGGTCATTCCAGACGGTCAATGCAGCTTACCGGAACAGGAAGGAGCTTAGTCCAACTTAAATTGCCGTCGGTCGATCGATCGAATGAAAGAAATATTGGAAAAGAAAAGAAAAGAAAAGGACTTCGATTCACCAATTTCACACCAAATCAGTGAAAGAACCACAAATCGTGCTTCAATTCTCCGAGTTATGCTAACAATGCACAAATTGGGGAAAAGCAACAATACTTTTTTCGCCTTGTGCAAATTGACTATTTGACTAATCCACGCACTTGCTGCGCGCCACTCTTGGAGGATCGTCTGTCAATGGAAGCAAATCCCGAAACACCCACGCTTCGGGATTTGAATCTATGGACCTCGAGGATGAGTAAGCCCGCCGCTGCTCACTCACTCACCAGTCCAATCCAAACCAAACTACAGCCCAGTTCGCCCGATAATGCTACTGTGTACGAGTATATCAGACCACTCTTAGGATCTGTCGATTTACCCACCCAACCTCCCCCCCGATTCGGTTGGCTACCCCGGAAAGCTCCTGGATGGTTATTTCTGCGTCTTTCCCGTCTCATTCTCCCCAGTAGCCCTCGAGTTATGCGCTCCGGGAAAACCTCTATTTAGATCGTGGGCGATGGTAGCACGCCCTGCGGCCGTTGCATGATCTTCCTACCATTTACTCATACTACCCGCTGCAGCTGTGTATCTCCAGTTCACGCCCAAAATGGCCCTGGACGATTCCCAGCAGCCGTACCAAGATGATGGAGTCACGGCAGTTACACAGCCTAGAGCTTCCAAGCCCGCGGTTGTCCGCAAGAAATTTGCAAAGCCTCCAGTCAAAGTAGCGTGTCTTGCGTGGTAAGTGGCGTCGCATCCACCTGGAACTTTTGTGCAAGCACTGAGCTTGGATTTTGTTGCAAGCGACTTGGAATCTTTTCATCTTGCCGTTCATTGCGACTGATTGATTATCTATCTCAGTCGTGCTTCCAGAACGAGATGCGATGGACAAGACCCCTGTACAAACGTATGTATCCTCCCCTCGCCAATTCGCAGTTTTCCAGGCCATAGCCTTCATCTCAAGGAGACACATTGTGCCTTGCTCTGTTACTTCAGCCTTCCATGATGGCTCCCTAGACATCCGCAGCGTCTCGCCAAAGTATATGCTGATTTGATCGTGGTGGCAAAGTGTCTTAGCAAAAAGCGAAAGTGCTCCTACCTACCCAGTAAACGAGGAGGTCCTCGGAAAAAGAAGAAGCCCTCAATTCCTTCAGACGAGGCTGTTCAGCAAGATGATGAGCAGAGCGCCATGATCACCCCGCCGTCCTCTGGGTTCAATGATGATTGTAAGCAAGCTGACCCAAGATTGCCAGTTCCTCCCAGCTAACGACGGTTCAGCGCCGGAAATGTTCGGCCAGATTGACGTATTGTCAATTCCGGGGGCGGGGCTCAGAAGCTTGGACTTTCCTTCGGATGTGCACTCGATGTTCACAGATCTGTTCGTCCCTAATGGCGAGAGCAGTATCCCAGTACAGATGGAACCGACCCCCTCGCCATCGAATGTCCCCTCGCAGTCTTTGGTCAGAACTTATGGCAGTGAAATAGAGATGTGAGTAACCATCATTTGAAGCGAGCTCATTACGTCCTCTGACTTCGAAAACAGCTTGAATGCTTACTACGAGTTTGTTCATAATTATTTTCCTATACTTCCGCCGAGATTCGCTCCTCGCGTTCCGGATCGACCTTTGGACGGCGTTGGTTCATTCACAGAGTCACCCTCAGAAGAACCCGTGATACCCTACCGGCCTCAATCCCCTCTCAGCTGTGCAATTTCAGCTATATTAGCCTTAGTGCCGCATCCGAACGATATTGAATCGTCTAGCCCCGCCTCTGTGGTCCGCCGCCGAACATACGCTCAGATGTTTGCCCAAATGGCGAATCTGACTATCGAGACCGACTGCGAGCTGCAAGCCTCGACCACTGATCCTGCACTGGCGCTGTCCAACGACCGACCTCTTATTGACCGAGCTGCTTTCCATCCTCAAGCGCCCGTGGAGCTTGAGAGCATTCTGGCACTTTTGGTCCTTTCAGTCTACGAGTACACTCAACGGGGAAACCTGTTGAAAATGCGGTACCGTGCTGGTCAAGCCTTGTCTATAGCTTTGGATATGTCTCTGCATTCACTCAGCGACGTTTACGATGAGTTTTCTGAAGCTCGGAGAAGAGCTTGGTGGATGACGGTGAGAAGTTCGTACCCTGATTCTATGGCATTGATGTCTGACTCTCAGTAGTACTATTGTGTCCTCCAAGGTTCCATTGTTAGCGCCACGGTAAGTTCACTGAAGAGTTATGCATGTCTCTCGAGGAAGTGGCTAACACGCGGGTTCTCAGCCGCTCTCCATCGTCGCCAACGATCCCCAATTTGTCACGCCGTATCCACGCTTCGCTGCCGACCCCGATGTGAGTCAACCCAATTTCTTGGTAGCACTTCGATCTCTGACGCTTTTTGCAGGGCTGGTCCGTCTTGATTCAGGCTCAGCAGGTGCTCGTATCGGCAACCCAATTCGTCGTCGACCTCAACAAATGCGTCTCAACCAGAACGAACATGCAGTACATCTTTGAAAGAATGCAACAACTTGATTCATGGGCCAGCTCCGCATTAGCACAGTCAAACTTACTCCCCATAGTTCCGCAGACCATGTCTTGTCGAGGAGATTTGGAGTCCATAACAGCTCAAAGTATACGCGCGATCTCGCGCATCAAGCTGTCAAGGTGAGGGTCAAACCTCGCACATCGAGATTTCACGCCCGTGCTAACCAACATTGTAGCGCACAAATCAAGATCCACCGCTTTAGAGCATTCTCAGATATACCCATTTTCATCAAGAAGCACTGCGATCTAACCGCAGCCACCACCACCACCACAAACTCCATACCAATTGAGACCATCAAAAGCCCAGCGACCCAAGACAGCATCACCCGGGTTGGTTGCGCCTGCAGCAGTCTCGACATGTTCCAGCAGTCCTCATCCGACTATACCCCTTCCTCCGCATCCTCGACCTCGTCCGATTTCTCCTCCTTACCACCTCAGTACTCATTCACCAACGAGTTCCCATACAGCAGCCAACACTCGGCCAAAATCTGTCTCCGAGCCTCCCTCCTGATCTCACAGATGTTCCACTGTCTCCCGATCCCGCAGCCGCTGCTCTCGGACGATCGCCAACCATCCCCACCGGGCCTCCAGCAGCTGCTACCGAGCCAACTTCCCCGCACTATGCCGTCGTTCGCATGCTGTCTCATGCAAGGCAGCTACGCCATGCTGATGATCTTCTACAAGGCCCGCGTTGAGAAACAAATGACTCCACCGGACTACGGCGGCGGCGGCGGCAGCAGCAGCCCGTCCGATCGACTCATCGAGGAGATCCGACAGGGACTGGAGCGGATCATCGCCGCGGCGACCAATTACGCGATTGCTTTCGAGGCGCTGGACGGCATGAGAGGTACGCATAACCCCTACTTGACGCCCCGGGCCCGGCGACCGTTCCTTCGCGCTAACAAACTCCTAGATGAAATCGAAGGTGCATACCACACGGCGTTTATTCAAGCATGAAGAGAGAGTCCCAAATCTTTTCCGTTCAAACACAACCCCTATCTAATTCCTCCCGTACATACATACACCCTTCTCCCCCGCCTCAAACCTATAATGAGACCCCTTTATCTACATACCGTCCGTAGAATTTTCTTTTCGTTTCTCTCTCTCCCCCCCTTCAACTTCAAAAAGCAAAGCAAACGAATTCTGCATGCCCTGGCGTTATTCAAGAACGAGTCCGGATATATGCGTGGACTGGCCTAGTGTATGGGTTTTGGGGTTCGAATCAAGCAATCCAAGCAATCCATTTATCTTACCTTGTATCTTCTGTTGAGAAAGCATGTAACGATGAACTCCAATTCCAGGATTTTTGTCTAGATGTGTTGCTGGTTCGACTCTCGTGGAAATGCGGTGCACAGCGATTTTGCAATATCCGGTGTTCGTAGATGATACTACTACTTACTCTCACCATCCATACAACCCTATACATATACCCCATACCTCATACCTCATACCTTACTCCCCGAACCAAACCAAAACAATCAACTTTAAACCAAGACTCAAGTCTCGAGGATCGAGAACCGGATATTTTCCACAAGGATCCCCAACTCAAACTAATATAATAAATTCCTTGGAGCTAAAAACAAGATAATTCTATATTCACAAAACCCGCCCGCTTATTTTCAAACAGCAGCAGAAAAAAAACCCCCGTAGCGTAAAAAAAAGATGTTGTGCTACGGGGCGGCTACAATTTCGACCGGATCCCCTCCAACCGGAACTTCACATCCTTCAGAACCTTACTGGAGGGTTTCCAGTCGTCGAACTGTTGGAGCAGTTCCATGGTTTCGGTCGTCAGCTCGCGGCGGACGTACTCCTCCTCGAGGAGGCCACGCATGGCGAAGGGGAGGATGTACGGGTTGGCGGGGGAAGGGGGTTGCGTGCGTTTGATGCTGAGGAGGGTTTTGGTGGTGGCTGTTGTTGTGAGCGGGAGGGCGGTGGTTTGGAGGGCGAATTGGATGGCAAGACTATTTTTCCTCGCGGGTCAGCATTTTACTTGTTGCTTGTTGTTTGTTTGGGGGAGTGCAGAACGTACCGGTAGACTGCGGGGTCGTCGTAGAGGCGGGAGTGGCCTTCGCCAGTGTAGAGACTTCCTGCTAACGGGGAGCTGAGTTCGCGGATGAGGCCGTGGTCTGCAATGCCGAGGTTGCGAAGCTTCAGGACGAAGCCGACTAGGTGTGAAAGACTGAGAGTGGTCAGTGTGTGCTGAAGTGATTGAGGGTCAGTGGGTGGTGGCATACAAGCTCGGAGCGTGGACCCTGCCGTCGACGAAGGCTGCGCGGTAGATATACGGATGGGTCACGGGGGTGAATAGTGAGGACTGAAGCATAATTAGACTTGTTGATGACTGGAGCATCAAACAGCGTTAGAAGGTTGCATACCTCCAAGGAAACCAACTGATCGTCAATGCTGCCAATGTACGATATTCGCACTCCAAAATCTAAGCATGTGCGCAATGCCGCTTCATAATCCCTCGAAACCTGACTGTAGGGCAGGGCAAATTCGAAGAGCTCGCCCGCTGAACCACTAATCCATCGAGATCTGTAGTCGGTGAACGGGCCCAGGTTGACGCCCGCCATGGCGCATATACCAACACGGGATGCATTGATGCAGCCAAAGGATATCAACTTGGCAACGAGCATGATTGCCACCGGAACGCCCTGGCTGTGACATGCAATCAGAATGAAGTCCGCCGTTCGGATCTCCTCCATCCAGTTTAGTAGCAGCTTCCATAACAGTTCCACGCGCTCGGCTATACGGCCCTCGCCCTCCAAGGCAATTTTGCCTACGTCGCATTTGTAGCCAAAGTCCTCTGCCCACTTGTGTATGGCTTCAGCTGCCATTGTTGAGAATCTGATCGACGTTCCGGTTGGCTGTCCGAGAACACTCCGTATCAGAGGAGCCGGAAAATACCCGTGTACACCTATGGCGAGTGCCTTTTTGATATGCGGCGGATCCCGGACCATGTAAACATGCTTGTTGTCGGCTTGTTTGTTATAATGCAAGTAGCGCCCTATCGTCTGGAGTATGCCCGGCTTCTCTTCCAAGGCAAATGTGTCCTCGAACCGCGGAAGCACTTGGTTCGGTAGGACCTTCTGGAGTTGTTTTGTTGCTACAGTCTCAGACGGTCCTTGGCTTGGAGCGTTGACATCTGCTTCGGCTCGTGCGGTAGCTTTGTCAAGTAGATTAGCAGTACTCTTAGAAGCCTTAGCTTTGACGCTTCCTTTCTTCACCACCCCCACCCTAGGCTCATTCTCAGGCTCAGGTTCCACGGCAGACTTCTTCGATGGCTCTTGAGTCATGGAGGCTTCGGCTACCTGGGCATCTTGCGACTTGCCGGGTTCGGAATCCTTCGAAGCATCTCTAAACCAGAAGCTCCACCCGGAAGCCTTTGTGTTCGGATCTAGTGGTTTAACTGGGTCGTCTACCTCCTCTTGCATCTCATGCTCTTGGCTCGGTGCAGGTGCTGCATGCGGGACAGAAGATGTGGGTGTGTCGGTTCCACTGGAGGGTTCGATGGGAGTATTTTCCGGGGTCTTTGAGGCGGACGAGCCATACCACATCTGAAGCCAAGACCGCTTCTGGGCTGTCCCAGAGACCTCAGATGTTTCGGCAGGCTGCTCCTGGTCTGCTTCTGTTTCTGCCACTGTTGGATTTTGGTCTTCTATCGTCCTTTCTTCCTCTTTGTTGTCTGGTGTTTCCGATGGTGGCTCCTCCTCTGGCTTCGCCATTTGGACTTGTGGGCCAGATCTATCAGCTGTCGATGATCCATAGAGCCACGAAAACCATCCGCCTGCTTGGGAGCCAGACTGTACACCGGAGTCTACACCTGCAGCACTGTCGCCCGCGACAGCAGTCGCGGGGGCTGTGTTTGACGGTTCGTTGCGCGTACCCTCCGCCACAGCTGAGCCTCTGTCACTGGGTGCAACCTCCTCGACTGGATTCGCTGCCACTGTAGTACGATCTGATCGGGCGTCGTCTGCCGGAGTCGACGCAGTACCATCTGAAGCTATATTGACTATGGTTGTTGTAGCGCTGGCGGGGAGGGAGCGGCTAGATGCAGTATCCTTTCGAGTCAACTGGAGAGATGGATGGCGAGACTGCCTGGGGGCCACGCTCAGTTGGGAAGTTGACGAGGAGGTGAGTCGCGGGGGTGTTGGGGAGATGTTCTGGGCGGCGGAAATGCTCTCACGGGCAACCTCGGTAACCGGGGCGGCTTTAGATGCTCTTGAAACGGCCGGCCAGGCAGTTGGGTACCAGCTCTGTGTCTAGAAGAGAGGCAGATATCAGCTACACCAGCCATGGCCCCATAGTTGTTCCGGCAACGCTATGGGGAAATCCGAGACTCACCACACCGCTTCCTCTCTTTTGCGCACGAGCACGTTGTTTGGCTGTGGAACCGGAGACCGCACTGTCATTTGAGGATGTAGTCGAACGGGCATCCGCGCCTGGCGGGCTGGGCTTTACTCTCTTACGAGATCCCATGGATGGCATGGAAGTTTAACAGTGGCATCACCAAAGACGTGGGGTGGGAGGGTGTATGAAATCGATATATTGCGGGTTAGTGGTAGGGGGTGGGTGGGGATCGAAGCATAAAGAAGCCTTCTTGTTGGAAAAGGGTGGGCAAGAGGCCTTTGTACTGTAGGTAAGTATGGAAGATGAAAGACCTAGCAGGTTAATACTAGTAAAACTAGTACCTTAGCGACAAGTGATGCCTGCTGGAAGGGGGAAGGTTGAGGGATGAGAAGTGATTTGGTTGGGGGTCGAGTTGTTCTCAAGGCCGAGGGGCGATTGGCCTGCAACTCCTCCCTCCTTCCCTCCGTAATAACAGTCAGTAAGTACTGGCTCCGTATACTCCGTACTATCAGTTACATCAGTTACAGTACGGTGATATCACGTCACATGCTGACCGTCCTTTGTTGCGTCCTCAGGCACATAAGCAGAGACAAACGCATCAAACAGCAACTCACATGTGGCTCAGTCCCGCACCGCCACACCCAAAGACCAGAAAGGGGAAATTTTTTATTGTACTGTAAGTTTCGGGGCGGACTGTGGAGAACATTTGAAAGGCCTGGCTCAGCTGGCTGGCTGACTCGATCCATTCAAGCCCGCCCGATAACTTTTTTTTCCCGTGCATAGAGAGAAAGCAATCATCCCCCCCCGGTTACTCCAACCAACCCTTTTCTTTCTCTCTCTTTATCAACTCTTTCTTTTTATTTCGCCAGTCCGGGTCTTGAAGTCGAGACTTTCTCGACCGCCCGCTTATCACAATGGCGATTCAAAAGAAGGTATTGTGGAATCCCACCGCGTCTCCAGGGAAGCAATTTGGACTGACAACAACCAGCACGGTAAAGGTCGTTTGGATAAGTGGTATCGCCTTGCGAAGGAAAAGGGATACAGAGCTAGATCTGCGTTCAAGTTGGTCCAGCTCAACAAGAAGTATGGTTTCTTGCAGAAGAGCAAGGTCCTCATCGATCTTTGCGCGGCGCCCGGTGTAAGTAACCAACCTACGGAATATCTTCGATTCGGTTTCTATTGGGCCGTTGAATCTGATTCTCTCCTCCATAGGGTTGGTGTCAAGTCGCTGCAGAATGTATGCCCGCCCAGAGTATCATCGTCGGTGTCGATCTTGCTCCCATCAAGCCTATCCCCCGTGTGATCTCGTTCCAAGCCGACATCACGACCGACAAGTGTCGCGCCACCCTTAGACAACACCTGAAGCACTGGAAGGCGGATACGGTCCTTCACGATGGTGCCCCCAACGTCGGTACGGCGTGGGCGCAGGATGCCTTCTCCCAGTCCGAGCTGGTGCTGCAGTCCATGAAGCTGGCGACCGAGTTCTTGGCCGAGGGCGGTACATTCGTGACCAAGGTTTTCCGGTCGAAGGACTACAACCCCCTGCTGTGGGTCTTCAAGCAGCTCTTCACCTCGGTCGAGGCGACGAAACCCCCCTCTTCCCGAAATGTGTCGGCCGAAATCTTCGTCGTCTGCCGCGGCTACAAGGCACCCAAGCACCTGGACCCCAAGTTCCTCGACCCCAAGCACGTCTTCGCCGAGCTCGCGGACCCGACCCCCAACAACGAGGCCAAGGTCTTCAACCCGGAGAAGAAGAAGAGAAAGAGAGAAGGTTACGAAGAGGGCGACTACACACAGTTCAAGGAATGCTCGGTCTCGGAGTTCATCAACACCACCGACCCGATCGCCATTCTCGGTTCATACAACAAGCTCAGCTTCACACAGACCCCTGGTGGAGATCTCGCGCTCGCCACCCTGGATCGACTAGAGGAGACCACAGACGAGATCCGCAAATGCTGTGATGATTTGAAGGTTCTGGGTAAGAAGGAATTCCGGAACTTGCTCAAATGGCGTCTCAAGGTCCGGGAGAAGTTCGGCCTCGTCACGAAGAAGGGACAGCAGCAGAAGGGCGAAGAGGCCGAAGAAGTTGCGGAGATCGCCCCCATGGATGAGGAGCTGGCTATCCAGGAAGAACTGCTCCGACTCCGCGAGAAGGAAACGTCCAAGATGAAGAGGGAAAGACGCAAGGAGAACGAGAAGAAGCGCAAGGAAATTGTCCGTATGCAGATGCACATGACGACGCCCATGGACATCGGTATGGAACAGCTGGGACCCGGCGGAGACGATGCAACCTTCTCCATCAAGCCTGTCGACCGGAATAATGCCCGTGATGTCATCGCCGCTGGCAAGGAGGCTACGATCGAAAGCGACAGCGAGGACAGTGACGACGAATCCGATATAGAGGAGAGCGACGAAGAGGGTGACCGCCTTGAGCGCGAACTGGACACTTTGTATGAGCGATACCAGGAGCGCAAGGAGGATAAGGACACTAAGCTGCGGGCCAAGAAAGCTAGAAAGGGCTACGAGGCTGACGAATGGGATGGCTTCTCGGATGAGAACAAGGGAGATAGCGACGATGAAGAAGAGGAGGAGACTAGTGCTGCGGTAAATGGCGTGCAAGCACCGAAGTCTGGATCGCTTTCCAACCACGCCGCGCTATTCTTTGACCAGGACATGTTCGAAGGTCTTGAGGATATCGATGATGTGGAAGACGAGGAAGAGGAGGAAGAAGACGATTATGAAGAGGAAGATGAAGAAGATGAAGAGGAGGATGACTCTGAGGAGGATTCTGAGGAGGACGGTGCTGTTGAGGTCGACAACCGTCGTAAGGCCAAGCAGGCCAAGAACTCGAAGCAGAAGGCCGAAGACTCCGAGGATGAGGAGCCTGTTCAGCTCGAGGACCCGCGGAAGGCCAATGGGCAGCTTGGTAAGTCTACAGATTCATGTCTACTGTCTGTCAAGGCTATGAAGACTAACATGTACACTACTAGACATCGACATCATCACCGCAGAGGCCATGGCTCTGGCGCAACAGATGGCTACTGGTGAAAAGAAACAGAATGACGTGGTTGACGACGGGTTCAACCGCTACGCCTTTCGGGATGTCGACGGTCTGCCGGAGTGGTTCCTTGACGATGAGGGCAAGCACAGTGCCCCGAACCGCCCCATCACCAAGGCGGCAGCTGCCGCCATCAAGGAGAAGTGGCGTGCTATCAACGCACGCCCTATCAAGAAGGTGATGGAGGCCAAGGGCCGGAAGAAGTTCAAGGCTGCCCAGCGGTTGGAGAAGTTGCGCAAGAAGTCCGCCTTGTTGGCGGATGACGAGGCTCTGAGTGAGAGAGACAAGGCGCAATCGATTGCGAAGCTGATGGCGCGTGCCACGAAGAAGAAGCCCAAGACGCAAGTGAAGCTGGTGGTGGCCAAGGGTGCCAACCGGGGTATCTCGGGTCGTCCCAAGGGTGTCAAGGGTCGGTACAAGATCGTGGATTCCCGTATGAAGAAGGATATCCGGGCGCAGAAGCGGGTTGCGAAGAAGAAGCAGAAATAGAAGCGCCGAGGGCCTGTGTAATGGTGCACAAAATGATGGTTGTTCGCAGTCTGGATTCTTGTAAATACCCTCCCTCAAAATCTCACGATACCTACTGTTGTGCATTTGTTTTGCATGTGTTACTGGGAAGGTGTGTATGTACTGCACTGTACGTATGTAGTCGATAAAGAGCACACCCCCCTTGTCAGTTGTTTGGTTAAAGGTGAGGTGAAACAGAAACCCATAGAGATGCAGACTAGACTGACTCGTATCTCACTACTATATTCTTTCACGCTAAGGGAAGGGTGCAGCTGAGAAGATCGGATCCGAAGTGGCGGGCGGCAACTGGCATCAGACGGGGTCTTGGCGGACTCGCGGGAAGGAAGAAGGAAGAAGCATCGAGGATCGAGTCCGGTCCTCCTCATCACCGCCCACCTCTTCTGGATAACTTATCTTTTTCGAGTACTGCACCTCCTACTGGAGTTAATCGGCTCCGCGGGGTTTTTTTTTTTTTTAATTCCCTTCCTCTTTTCTCTCTCTCTCTCCCTCTTCGCCGCCCACCCGCCGCCCGCCGCCCGCCGTCAACCCGCTTTGTTTTGTACGGCAACCTTACATTCTGCATATTATTCTTCACATCATTTACATACTTACACTACACTACACTCTTTACTTCTTGTCCTTTTTGCTTTGGGGTAAAGTCCCCCGTACATATGTTGTACCTCGTATCATAGGTTGTCTTTTACTACCCCCTTCCCCCCTTTTACACTTGTATAGTCAATACTTGCATTCACCGTATCTCTTGCATCATATCACCTTCTCCCGCTCTCATACAAAAAAGTGCGACTGCGATCCGCCCGCCCGCCCGCCGCCTCCTGCCCCTCCAACCCTCATGGGATTTTTCGACCACCTCCAAAAAGGAGGGGCCTTCTCACTGCAGCCCAAGAAGCCTCAGATTCGCAAAGTCGTCCAGACCCGAACCGCTCCTCCCACCTCCCGCTCTCCCTCGCACACGCCAGGACACAATCCCTCCCCGCGGACGCCATCCGTCCAGCTCAAAACTCGAGAAGCGTCTGGCAGTCGGTCCGTCTCGAGGGATCGCAACGATCTCCCTTCCTCATCCTCGAAGCGCCGGCATGGCACCCCCAGCCAAGGCAATCGCAAGCGTCAAACCCCCGAATTGCGCCTCTCCAGCGATGATGACGCCAGCAGCGACTCCGATACTTCATCCTTCGAGGTCCGTAAACGGGCCCGGACGGGCGACAGCGCGGAGCCGGACCCTCACCGGCGCGTGCGCTCACTGAAGGCTTTCGTCGAGGACAACGGCAGCAGCAGCAGTGGTGGTGGTGGTCCCAGACGGCTGCCCATGATCCATGCGGCGGAGATCACCTCGGCCCAGAAGGAAGGGAATTTCAAGCCGGCGTTTGGAGCGTCGAGGCCGTTGCCGGAGATCTCCTTGCAGTATCCGAGTAACTCTCCGAAGGAAAGGTATGAGAATTTCCATCAGGTTCTTTCCTCGAATTTTCTGTTTTTCGTCCCGTGTTTTGCGTTCCGTCTGAACGTCGGCCTAACATGATTTTTTCCGGCCTGTAGGTATAACCTTGTCGTTCCCCGCGACAACGACGATTTCAAACCCATCGACGATATCGTTCAAGTCATCGAGATTGTGGCTCAGAACTTCATCCCGGAAGACGAGGTGGGCGAGTTTGACGATGAGACGAATGGGATCAAGCGCCGACTCCGGCGAGCCCTGGCGCAATCGTCCGAAGCGCAGTTCCGGGAAACGGTGGCCGACTATAACCATGCTATTACACGATTGAGGCGCAACGGGAGCATTGCCAAGAAACTCGATTCGATGGGCCGTCTCAATCTGCCGCTGGTGGAGAGAATCTTGAACCAGATCTATTCGCGAACCGTCTCGCCTCGGGTCGAATCACTGCGGCAGTATGAGAACGGGACGGACAACGTTTATGGGGAGCTACTTCCTCGATTTATTAGCACCATCTTCAAGGAGACGGGCTTGAAGTCCGGCCAGGTCTTTGTGGATTTAGGTTCTGGCGTGGGCAATGTGGTTTTGCAGGCAGCGCTGGAGATTGGGTGCGAAAGTTGGGGCTGCGAGATGATGCAGAATGCCTGTGAGCTCGCGGAACTCCAACAAGCGGAGTTCCGCGCGAGATGCCGGCTATGGGGCATTGCCCCCGGGAAAACGCACCTGATCCGCGGCGACTTCTTGAAGCAGCAAAGCATCGTCGATGTTCTGAAGCGGGCGGACGTCGTCCTGATCAATAACCAGGCGTTCACCCCCCAGCTGAACAACGAGCTGATCAACCATTTCCTGGACATGAAGGAGGGCTGTCAGATTGTGTCACTCAAGTCGTTTGTCCCGGCGGGCCACAAGATTCAAGCCCGCAACCTCAATTCGCCCATCAACCTGCTCACAGTCAAACAACGAAATTACTGGTCCAATAGCGTCAGCTGGACCGACGTTGGCGGCACATATTTCATCGCCAGGAAGGATAGTTCCCAGCTGAAGGCCTTTGTTGAAAGCCAAGGGTGAACGGTTCTTGGCCTAGCTGCAACAAACAGGTGCATGATTGTCACGGCAACTCTTGGGTAACGACCGCGATGATTTCTTTCTTGTATCGATGGCTCCCTGGACACACGTGATATATATGTCCATTTTCTTTTTCTACATAGTTTTCATTTTTCCAGATCCCTTTTCGGGTGTCCCTGAGTTCGATTTTGGGAGGAATACTCCGGGGCTCCAGGCATGATACCACCTTTTTTTCTCTTCGGACCGGCATCTATACTAAACCAGCGCTTTGCTATTTTTCATCCATCGTCAGTTTCATCTTCCGCTCTTGGTCCAGGTTGGGTATTTAGGTCATCGCGCGTGAGCCTGGATCTGTCTCTCTGGACCAACTGCTACTGTGAATAACTAGTTCATGGGTATCATTGTGCATAGAAAGCTCTGACACATATCCTAAAGAAATCCCGCCCAGCCCGATGCCTGGGTACGGGGGAAATGATCAAAGCAGAAAGTCTTCTGGCAGCGTGAAATAAGAAATCTCCCACCCTGTAACGTCCGCGTCCCTCCCCCATAACCTCTGAGTGTCTAGATCTACGAGAACCTCGAATTCGCATTCATGGCATCCGCCTCCTGCCCGACCTTGGCCATCCAGCGATCCACCAGATCCTGGTTTTCTTGCTGGAACCGCGCGGACCGCTCCTCGGCCATGTTCAGTTGGAGATTCAGGGACGCCATCTCGTCTTGGAAATCCTGTAGCCACCACCCCGGCATAGGTCAGTCAGTCAGTCAGTCAGTCAGTTAGTTGAAGGCTCAACATGCCCCCCCCCTTGTCCTAAAAACAAACCAACCAAGTAATGGGGTGAGTGCAGCAACCATACCTCCAACAACTTCGCCTTCCCCCGCAACTCCTCATCCCGATCCTTCAACCGCATCTGCAGAAGCGCGACCTCCTGCTCGAACCCCTGGAGGCGTCGCCCGTCACTGGCGTGGCGCTTGCGGAGCCGCTCCAGCTCCGCCGTCATCCGGGTGAGCTGGGCCTGCAGCTCCGAGCGGGATCGTTGCGCCGCGGCGAGCGACGCGAGGAGGGTTTCTTGTTCTTGTTGCGGGGCGGGTGGTGTTGGTGCGGATCGGGCTGGGCGAGGGACATGGTGTTTTGTGGTTGTGGTTGTGGTCGCACGCGGACCTTCGCCCGCTGGAGTTTGTAGGCTGGTGGTGGCGGTGGTGGTGGATGCGGTTCGGTCGGCGAGTTGGGTGTCTTTGGTTTGTTTGGGGTTAGATTTGCGGGGAATTCACTACTGTCTGGGAGGGCTGGTTGGAGAATCTACTTTGCTGGATACAGGCAACGAGAAAGGGTTAGGGGGAAACGGCGTACAGGCATCGTATAATGCGGTGTTGGCTTTCTCGCGGCGGTCGCGAGATGCCAGTGCAGCGGAGTATTCTTCCCGCCAGTGGGCCATTTAGTGATACTGTAGATAGATAGATAGATAGTGGTGGTGGTGGGTGTGGGTGTGGGTGATAAGGAGGGGCGAAAGGTGGTATTGGTTTTGGTCTATTTGATAAGGCAGTCATGGATACATGATGGTGTGTTGGAGCTGTTGGGCTAGGGGTTGAGGGGATCTGGTGAGGTTCTGGAGGGTGCAGGTCCCTTGAAGCGCATGAGGTTGAGGGATGGATGATAATCGGGTGATGATGACGATGGGGTAAACAATGAAAACATGCAATCAATACTTTACTTTGCAAGCAGACCGCCATCTCCACCGCCCGGACGGACCCTCGTGCAATGATCATCTTGCCCGCCCCATCCACTCATTCCATTGCAGTTCACCGTCCAGACCCATCCCAACCACAAACTAAACTACTACCTACTAAACTACACTAATTAATCTCCCTCTCTCTCCTCTGCTTGTCGTGCCCCCTTCACTCCACTCACCACCTCCCACCACCAAAAATAAACAAATCCATCACTTCCCCTGCACCCCCCCATCCTCCCTCGGCATCTCCTCCATACCGCATAGAACCGGTAATACCTTACGCATCTCCACCATGTCGTCACGGAAGAAGGTCTTGTTGAAGGTAACCCGCAACAAAACATCCCCGAAAACAAACCCTTCAACGTCCCGAAAACTAATCTTCGCTCTTACTTGCTTGTATTTAGGTGATCATCTTGGGTGATAGCGGTGTCGGTAAAACGAGTTTGATGAACCAATATGTCCGTGACTCTCTCTCTCTCTCTCTCTCTCCTCCCTCGCAGCAGCAACAGCAGCAGAACTGTTTCACTGACTTTCTTTTCCGCCCAACAGGTCAACAAGAAATTCAGCGCGAGCTACAAGGCCACAATTGGCGCCGATTTCCTCACCAAGGAGGTCTTGGTGGACGACCGTCTGGTGACGATGCAGGCATGTTCTCCTCGCTTTTTCACTACCAGCCTCCTAGCTCGCCGTCGTTGTCATTTCTTGGATACTAACTTATTGCGAATATAGATCTGGGATACTGCGGGACAGGAGCGCTTCCAGTCCTTGGGGGTCGCTTTCTACCGAGGAGCCGACTGCTGCGTGCTGGTATACGATGTGAACAACTCCAAGAGCTTCGAGGCGCTGGACAGCTGGCGCGATGAGTTTTTGATCCAGGCTAGTCCTCGGGATCCGGAGAATTTCCCGTTTGTAAGGGATCCCCCCTCTTTTCGGGCGGTGTAGTGTGCGGTCACTGACACTGTGCTGGCAGGTGGTGATTGGTAACAAGATCGATGCGGAGGAAAGCCGACGGATGATCTCCTCCAAGCGGGCGATGACCTTCTGCCAGTCGAAAGGCAACATCCCCTATTTCGAGACCAGCGCCAAGGAGGCGATCAACGTGGAGCAAGCCTTTGAGGGTGAGTGTCCCCGCCCGGCCGGTTTTCCCTTGTGCTACGACTGTACTGACCCCCTCGTCCCACGTAGTCATTGCTCGAAGCGCTCTGGCCCAAGAAGAAGCCGAGGAGTTCAGCGGGGAATTCAGCGACCCGATCAACATCCACCTGGACGGTGACCGCGACGGCTGCGCCTGTTAAATACCCTAATCGCTAGACCATGATTTTGGAACGATACTACAACTCCTGTCTTAACTTGAAGAAATGCTGCGCTTCGATTGGTTTGGTTTGCGAACTACGAACTTCTTGCTCCTCTTTCCTAGCACCTGTATATACATTGCGGGTGCCTTTCATGTATCACGCTCCTGTCTCTTTCTGCTGGTTTGTTGCTCGCATGGGTGTTATTGATTGTTTCTTTTTGTGTGTGTCTCTCTCATACTATAGGAGTCTGAGGGGGGAATTCACGAATTCACACTGTTACACTACTAGCCAGTAGTCAAGTTACTCTTCAGTTGGTGGGTTGACCGTCGCGTGCTTATCGAGGTTATCTCGTGATGCTTGGCGGGATGCTATCGAGTTACACCGCCCTCTTTTCAACAGTAGTAGTTGAGTTAGTTATCAGTACTCAGTACTCCGTAATTTCCCCGGTAAATCCTCCCTGCTTATCGCACCGCCTGCTACCGCCTGCTGGCCCCGGTGTCATTTGGATTGGCTTATTGCTATCGACGCGCTAAGCTGTCTCACTCCTTGCGACCCTCGCTGTTGCCCTCATGACTAGGTCAAGTCGATGACCCTGTTACCCTGTTACTCGGTGAGCCTTTTGTCGGCACGGTCTCCGGAGCGAGTGTCCGTCGCGGTCGCCATTTGGACGGTGTAAGCGGGGAGGAAGAGAGAGGGTTTGAGTTCTTATCTCGACATCTCGGAACCAAACAAGAACGCAAGTCGCGTTTCCCCTCTTCGTGCCCTTCGTGCGGTGCGCTCTCATCCTTGGGGCGAAACGCGCAAACCGCACACATCCCTCCCACGATACTTCCAACAGTACAGGCTTCCTGCCCTCAGCATGGAGCCCTCAACATCCATCCCGCAGACCTCGGGCCTGACCCCGGGGGGTCGACGCACTCTCGGGATCGCATTACTGCTCATCGTGGTCTTCCTCTGGACGGCCTCGAACTTCCTGGCCAGTGTACATACCCTCCCCCCTCCGCCCAAATCCCCTCCTTTATGAGGGGGTGGTGGGGAAAAGACGACGCGAGTTCGCTAACTTAGCTTGGTGTGGTGGGTAAAACTTAGACCATCTTCGCCGACAACACCTACTCCAAACCCTTCTTCGTGACCTATGTCAACACCTCCATCTTCATCCTCCCGCTCGCCTCGATCATCGCCGGTCGGGTCTTCCGGCTCTGGCGCGCCGGCAAGCTGTACCGGATTCGGTCGGTGCAGAGTCTGTTGCAGCATCTGGATGCGCATGATGGGTGTTTGGAGGGTGAGGGGAGACGGATTTTGGATCGTGCGGGGGTTGAGGGTAGGAGTAGGAGTACGAGCAGGAGTGCTGGTGCTGGTAGCAGTAGCTGGGGGAGGGCCGGGGCCGGGGCCGGGGCTGGGGAGCTTTCGTCGGCCAGGTTGGGGTTGAAGGAGACGGCGAAGCTGAGTTTTCAGTTTTGTCTTCTGTGGGTGAGTTTTTTGCTTTTTTTTCGGGTTGGTTGAGGTTTGGGAAGTGCTAACATGGCTGGGTGGGTGGGTTTAGTTTACTGTAAGTTGCGCGATGTTATCTTGTTTGCAGGGAGGAGTGTTGAAGGGACCGGAAGGACTTGTGATTGACGCGTGCGAGGTAGGCCAATTACTTTGCCATGGCATGTTTACAGTATACAACGGTGGGAAGTACCACCATCCTGACCTCCACGAGTGGTACGTTTACTGGAGAGCAACATCCCATCCCCCACACCACACTCTGCAAGAATGAAAGAAAAAAAACCTAACGAGCAAACCCCAGGCGTATGGACCCTCATCTTCGGCGCCCTGATCGGCGTCGAACGCTTCACGCCCCGCAAACTCCTCGGCGTGATCGCCTCCCTCATCGGCATCATCATGATCTCGCGCCTCGACATCTCCTCCCCTTCCCCCTCGCCAACCCCAGACGCAGACCCTAATCCCAACCTCAACCCCACCTTGCGGGCTAGAGGGAGCACCATCCCCCCCAAACCCCCGCACGAGATCGCCCTCGGCGACGCCATGGCCGCCTTCAGCGCCGTCATGTACGGGGTCTACACGATCGTCCTGAAGAAGCAAGTCGGCGACGAATCCCGCGTCAACATGCAGCTCTTCTTCGGGCTGGTCGGCCTCCTGAACATGGTGCTGCTGTGGCCCGGCTTCCTGGTGCTGCACGCCCTGCGCGTCGAACCCCTCGCCTGGCCCGACTCCCCCCGCGTCTGGGCCATCGTCTGGGTCAATGCGCTCGCCTCCCTCCTCTCCGACCTGTGCTGGGCCTACGCCATGCTCCTGACCACCCCGCTGGTCGTGACCGTCGGCCTGAGTCTGACCATCCCGCTGTCGCTGGTCGGGCAGATGGTGATCCAGGGGCAGTATGCGAGTGGGGCGTATTGGGTGGGCGCGGCGGTGGTGTTCGGGTCGTTTTTGGTGGTGAATCATGAGAGTCGGGGGGATGTGGGGGACACGCAGGGAAATGGGGATGGGGAGGAGAGCGGGAGGGGGCGGACGAGGGGGAGGGGGAGGGGGAGGACGGGGGCATCGTCGGGGTATGAGGCTATTTCGGCGGTGGAGGAGGGGGATCATCGCGATTGATGGTTTGTGTGGGGTTGTGTTTGGGGGGGGGTGGGTGAAGTATAGACTGCAGGTGGTGTGACTTACTGGCTCTTTGTAGCGATTTCTTTGGTTCTTTGGTCCTTTGGTTCTCTAGGATGGTATCACTCACTTCTGGTAGTAGGAGGGGATAATGAGGGCGCAGCTTGGCAACTCTTTACCATGGCCACTCGTAGAAGTACTTCATCCATCTTCAGGTAAAAAGGAGGCAGATAGATAGTGTACTGCACCCCAAGAGAAACAACCGACTGCCTAGCAGAAGAAAAATGTACTTGTACACCAGCACTCCCAGAAGAAATAAGAGGCGTAAACACAATTCATTTCAACCTAGACTGTCCCCATCCATCCCCGCAATCTGTCATGGATTGCAATACCGGGCATCCACCCCCCGTCAGCATCACACGGCCGAGGACAAGCACAGCACCTAGCGATGATATTTCCAGGTCATCGCAATCAGGAAAATTTCCAAATTGAAACCAAGTATACAGGGACAGACAGCTACTATGGGGCGAAAGGGGACAATTCCCGAGTCTCAGTGTGGAAGTATGAGTGATACCAATCATCACTGCCCTAGATGAAAGAAAAGAGTATGTATCAATCCGGAAGAAATTGCACAGACATCCATCACACCAAGACAATAGAAAAGACGGCGGGCGGGCTGTTCATCAAAACAGGTAGAGAAAGTCAAGAAAGGCCAAGGGCTTGCTGTATAGCACAAAATACATAAGAAACATCAATATCACTGCAGTCAACAATCAAAGCCAGAGTTGGTGAACGGGTTGGGCAAAGGAGTGGATAAAAGAGTAAGGAGTCGGTTAAACTCAGACAGGAAATCAATCTTGGCTGTTTCTGTTTCTTTTCTGTCTGCTAATTGCTTGCTGGTTTGTTTTTTTCTTTTTATCTTTTTTACAACTTCTGATTACTTGTTCATTCTTCTCCTCCCTCAGGACAGTCCGGCTGCGCCTGTGGTCCCTGCTGGGGTGGGTTCGAGTTTCTTGCGCGCCACGAGGATACTCTTCAGCGATCCCAGCCATTTGGCCAGCGATTCCTCGTCCGCCGTGCAGAGGCGATAAGATTTCTCTTCCGCGATGATCTGCAGACAGAAATTCTTGGACCGGGACATGGGGTCGATTTCAGCGGCGTCGATCACTTGAGACATCGGGATGATCTTGATGGCGGAGTATTCCTGATGTTGTGTTAGATACCATTCAAGTATTAGTGAAACGAAAGAAGGCCCACCTGCTCATCCTTGTAAAAGCCCAGGCCACTCGGTCGGAGAACCACCCATAACCGCTTCCATTGCCGCATAGAGCCCTTGATCCGAAGACACTGGAGATAGCCGTTGCACACGACCCTTTCGGGATCACGCAGGACCCCGGCGTCGTTGACCCGGCCCGTCTCCCGCGCATTCGAAGACGATCCCTCCGCAAGGGCCGATGCAGACCGATTATGCGCCGAGGGTGACCGCAGGCGGACGCTGGTGTTGCTTCCAGGCCCGTCCGACCATTCCGAGTACGAGGTGATGTCGTTCGCCGAGTGGTCATGAGGAGAGGCGAAGCGCCTCGACTTGTACGCGGGCGACAGCGCGCCCCCCAGTTCGGGAGAGCTGGGCCGTCCGCGCTGGTCGAAGTCCGAGTGGTCCGTGGTATCGTATACTCGACGCTTACTGCTGGCTGCCGCAGCATCCCCCGGTTTGGACAGCGCCAGAAAAGCCTCTTCATCTTCGTCCATCCGTGTCTCGGCGCGGATGTATCTGATCCAATCCTCGGCCTCCTTGTCCGTCGCGGCCTGGAAGCGGTAGTTCTTGGAAGGAGAGAATATGCCAAAGACGTACTGTCGGTTCGATCGGGGCGACCGGACAGAAGCGACGGCCGTTACTTCGGACAAGGTGATGGAGGCACGGAGGCGGGTGGTTTCTTCATCTTTGTACACGGAAAGAAGGTTTGGGCGGAGGACAAGGTAAGCCGGTTTCCACGAAGCTCTAAAGGCCTAGCAGCGGTAGGAAGGTTAGTGTCCTGCTGGTGATGAGCAACCAAGAAAGGCAAAGCGACTAACATGTTTGTGCTTCACACGACGAAACACTTTTCCAGTCTTGATGACTCGGTCGAACTCGAAGCTACCGTTCTCATTGACGGGTGAGAAGGTGTCGAGGTTGACATGACCGTTGCGATAGTGGGTGGGATTTGGGGTCGGCGATAGGAGCGTGGAGGACCTCTGGACTTGACCGTCGGGGAGATGGATCACGGGCGCTCGGGCGCTCCCCTCCATAATTGGGGGGCACGAGGTTGAGATAGCCTGGGTCATGATGCCTCACGAACCGGCCGAGGGGGTAAAAGGGATGTGGAATTCCAAGCCAGGATCAATCTGGTGTATGTGCGACGGTCGCGGAAAAGGTTGCGACGGAGCAAAAGGAGCGTTAGGTTCTTCTATAGTTTCGTGGTGCGCATGTACGGGGGAGACCAAGAAGGGGTCGTCATTTAGATGGTCGAGTTGCAGTCGGAACAGAGGATGTCAAGGACAGAGAGAGTATACGGTCGCGAACACGGTGAGAGGAGGATTGCTACCGTAAGGTCATTGAAGTTGGATCGAAAGGAGAGTTGGGCGAGTTGAGTTGCAGTGGGAAGCAACGACGATGAAGGAGGGAATGCGGCGACAACAACAATAACAGTAACAACAACAACATCAACAATGACAGGTATTATCAGCAAGTGGCATGACCCAGAGCTGCACTCCGTCACCTTTCGCTTTCATACATAATACATAGAGAGGGGGAAGAAAAGAAGAAAAAGAAAGCAAGAGAGAAAAGAAGATCAAATGAAAGAGGAAATTCAAGGGTCTTCCAATCTTTTCTTCGTTTTTTTTTTTTCCCTGGTGGAAGGAAAGGGGTATCTATCCGAGAATCTACTACGTACTACCGACTACTGACTCCTACTAGTAGTAGTTCGAGACTTGAATCCGAAGAGAGGGGGTCAACATTTTCCCTGCTTTGCTAACGGGACGCATGGACGTTTTTGCCCTCACTGACTATTCTGTTAGAAGATCATCGGGTTCTAGTCCAGACAGTGTCCAGCCAGTGTCCAGACGGTGGGGGGGCCAATTGTGAGAGTGAGACCTCGACTGACTCAAGCTCCTGCAGTTTCACCTTGAGATGAACCACGAGCAACGTCATCGAATCATTCATCTTCAGGATTGTTGTTGCTGTCGTAGTTGTGGTGGTTGCTGGAGTGTTTGAGAAGAGTCAAGGGGGGGGGGTCGCAAAAGTAAGTTAGTTACGGAGTAGTTAGTTAAGCCTTGAAACGTTCCCCTCGTGGGACGCAAAACCGCCCGCCACGCCCCAGTCCAGGGGTTGAGAAAAGGGCAACTGATATCATGAATAATCTTCATGACGACAAGCTCGTCTTTTGACTTTCTCCCTCTTGAATTTCCCCGGCATTCTTGGTCTATGTCTCCGTAGTTGCAGCAGTGTAAACAATCATCCAACAAGCATTGACTTGCTCGATCCGACCGATGGATGCAAGAATCCTAAGGCTTCCTAAGAAAAGCGGAATGCCGGAGTATGTATGCAAGTGCCTTGACCGCAACGCAGATCCCGACGACCCGACATGGCAACACCAGATGCTTCATTCAAGGGTTGAAAGATACAGTAGTCTACATCATGTCCGTCCTTCACAGTAACTGTATGCAGGCTGCGTGTACCTACATAAAAGTTGCGAAGAGACCTACCAACCGACAGACCCTGGATGTGACAGCTCAACGGCGAAGCTTCGGGGTGTCCTCAACTAGACCCGATCTTAGATCTGCACGATGTTCCTTGGCCAAACATGATCACATCTTCCAATCGGACATGCAGATGCAGATACTCGGTACCAGCCTGGAGAGGACTTTTGCTTCCTCTGAGGCAGTCTCACACACACACACACACAGAGCCTGAGCCGGTCGATAGAGATCTAAAAGGCCACCTTGACAGATCCCCTTAGGGCCTGCTGGCCTGGGGTCACGTGTGGGTCCGTCCAAGTGGACACTCAGGGTTCTGGATGCATAGATTACCGGTACGTATTACCACCAGGAGCACCACCAGCCCACTGTTACCATACGTGACAAGCTCAGCCGTGTCGGCCCGAATCCCGTCGGTTTTCCAGATCAGGAGAAGGTTCATTCACGGGCTCATGGAAGATGGATGGATGGTGAGATAACATGCGACGCCAGCTGGGAAAACGCGACCTGCATGAATCAGGTTGCTGTTGAGCTGAAGCTCACGGCTTTTCATGAGACGAGACTTATACTTGTTGTCGCGACAACTGCAGGCACAGTTTCATTCCTTACTTACCATGTACTGTACACACAAATAGCGAGGGTGGCCAGCATGTCTGATCTCGGTCGATGGCTGTTCATGGCCTGGCTGAAAACGTAACCCACCCACACTATCTATCTTCGACTGGGTTTGACCACTCGCACAAGCAAAATGGAGGGGAACGTATTGTTCTTATATTTGCCGTTCAAAATGGACCTGTCGAGCCTCTGCACGAAAAGAAGTCGTGTGAAGGTCGGGCGTCGTCAGCCCCGGAAACTCTATGCGGCTATTTATGCTCTTAGGGCGTCGACACGACATCGTGGCTCTTTATATTGCAGAGCGGTTACGAAGTTAGCCTGCATCGACCTCTGACGACAGCTGCGCCAAGCCAGGTAAGAACCGTGAGAAGGGGCGTCCCAAGATGATCATACCCAGGGTACAGTGTCGCAAGACGTAAATAGAAATTGTACTCCGTAGAGACTGGGTTGATGTTGATCGCGAACTCAAACTGTTTTGCAAGATCGAGCGGCGACTGGCGTCTTCTGTCGACGTGTCTTGCAGGTTAAGCTTAAGGGTCTTCTGGTCTTCTGGTCTTCTATGCACCCAGGGGGGCCACGCTGCCTTACCCGTCGTAGACCTCGACTCTTATCCAGAAAGTGGATGTTGGTGATTCCACTGTGAATTGTGATCT